CCCCAATCAGGATGCCTGAAAGTACTTTCCAGCACTTTGCTGGGGAGGGAGAGATGGGTTAGTACAGGGGGATTAGGGCACTTGTCTTGCATGCAGCCAACCTTGGTGTGATCCACAACACTGTCTATGGTCCTCAGAGCACCACCAGGAGAAACACTTGAACACAATCAGGAGTGACTCCTGAGCACCGGAGTTTGTGGCTCCCTCCTTCACCCCCTCCCATACATCACTGGGCTGGGGCTTAGGTGGTAGAGCACATGCCTGGCATGTGCAAGGCCCCGGGTTTGATTCCCCAGCACTGCTGGGAGTAGTCCAGATGTTTGCTGAGTCCTGTGTAGAGTGACCCTTGGATTGCTTGTCCCCCGCCCCCAGCATCCCACAATAAGAGCAACAGCCATCACACACAACCAAGCCTTTTGCTGGCCTTAGCTTCAGTCTACTAAGCCTTTGGGTGTGAGGCCAGGAACCTGCAGTGCGTGGGATGCACCTTGACATTGGAGGTCCAGACCCTGTGAACCTGGTTGGCCCATCTGAGGTCCAGCCAGACAGAATCCACTCCGCCAGCCTCAGTTGCCCTCTGCTTGGGAGAGGAATCTGGAAAATCTGCACAATGAAGCAGCACTCGGAAGCAAGTAGGCCAGTCGGCCGCGCCACTTGGCAGCCCGGGCTGTTGTCTAACTGCGACCAGGTGTCAGGCTGCGAGGCTTGGACCTCACAGCACTTGCAGCCGATGCAAAATGACTAAAGAGAATGGATTCTGCCATTTTGAGCTATTTCCACTTTTTTAATTAAAAAGTGTTTTATAGGTTCATTATTAGCTACATGTTTGTTGCAAAAGTAAAAGAGAAAATAAGTCAGAATAAAATAGAAACTGTAAAGTAGAAACTACTCCTTGAGAGAGAACCATTGTTCATATGTTCAGGAGTTTTTTTTTCTGCCTTTTTTCCCCCCATTTTTTGCCTTTCTTTCCATTAGACTTAGTATTTAATTCCATTAAAAATCCATCGTGGGGGGCCCGAGTGATAGTACAGCGAGTGAGGTGCTTGTCTTGCACACGGCCAGCCTGGGTTGGATCTCTGGCACCCCAGAGATATGATCTCCCAGGCCATCTCAGTTGTGATCCCTAAGCGCAGAGCCAAGAGTAAGCCCGAAGTACCACCAGTGTGACCCTCAAAACTCCTTCATGGGGGAGGGTTGGAGAGAGAGCACAGGCTTTCCACACAGGAGACCCAGGTGGCACCCCCAGGACTGCAGTTCCTTTGGCACTGTGGGAGTGACCTCAGAGCACAGAACTGAGAGTAGCCTAAACCACTCCCTCCCTACAGACCAAGTTCCACTGTGCAGGCTCCGGAAGAAACCGAGACCAAAGCCTTGTGAGGGTGCAGGCATCTGTCTCCGCGCCATCCAGTCAGCTTTGCTTTGCTGCCTGGGTGTCACCTGCGGTCATTGGTCCGTGTGGGTCTCTCTGATGGTTCCTGATACCAGAGAGCCCCCATCGGGCTTCCTGCTGGCTCCAGGTGAATTCCTTTGGAATCAGAGTGACCCGTTCCATTTAGTAGGGTGTAGGCCTGCCCTTGGGTGTGATGGAGGAGCCGGCCCCAGGATGTTGTGTAAGCATGTTAGGAGTTCTGAAGTGCTGCCGGGACAGGGAGGATGAGACCTTGGCCTCGAGAGTTGGGGACGGCTTGGGAAAAGAAATGACACTTGAACAAAGTCCAGAGAGACCTGCCTTATGGCGCCTGCCGTCTCGAGCAAATCACATTCTCCTCGAGTTCTACTGGTTTTTTTCTCTGTTATGTCCTACTTTCCAGCCCCGTCCCATAGTTGCCCATGGTAATTAAATGAAATGTGCCAGATGGGTGCCTTCGCGAGACGATGGCTCGTCTTCTTGCTCTATTTGTGAAAACTGGCATTGGATCTCAGTTCTCAAGGATGCCCCTACCTTGAGATCGCTCCGGAGTGTCATTCTTGTGTATGTCTTGGCCAAATGGCTAGCCCGTCCTCAGGGCCAGGTTGAGTGACAGGTGAGTGTGTCACACGTATGGACCCTCTGATCCCTGCCAAGCCCCTTTGCCTGCAAGCGGCCAAGGGGCTGGAGAGGGGGATTCTTTAAAGATTTCTTTTGTCCGCCTGAACCTTCCTTCAAGGAAACACACCTTCCCAAGTTTCAGAAGCTGGCTGTCTCTCTCCTCGTCCTGACAATTTTTCTATCAGCTGCAACACGAGCGTGTCAGATTCTCCGCACGGTGGATGAGCCACCACATAGACCATATCAAACGGTTTTGAAGAAGCAAATGTTTAGGTCAGTTGAGAGAATATTTAGAGTAGCAAACACAGTGAACACAGTCGGTTAGCGAATGTTAAGTAAGCAGGCTAGGGATTTGGATAGAAGACAGCTATAATTAATAATACATTTATTTTTATTTTTTAAATTTATTTATTTATTGAATCACTGTGGGAAAAGTTACAAAGTTTTCAGGTTTAAGTCTCGGTCATGCAAATACCAAACACATTTCCCTGTACCAATACTTATTTTTCACCACGAAGAACCCCAATAAACCCCCCTCCACCCCTCCCAATGCATGTGAGGCAGATGAATTCTAGTTAACACTCTATCTACTTTGACTCGATTCATTGTTTCGACAAAAGATGCACCATTATTATTTAGAGTTTACACCCCCAAATCAGACATGCTGAAAAGGCATTGTGAAATAATTTGTTTTCTACAGCTGGTCACAAGAATCAAATGATTTTGGATTTCTGGTATTTTACTTATTAAGCCTAGAAGTATTTCTGCTGAGATTCAGATAGTTATGAGATTGGTTTCTGTGCTCTGGGGCCATGGCCGGGCCGGAGAGCCGCTTGTGGGGGGCAGCTCGTAACCTCGGTAGGGCATGAAAGAATGCCCCCCTTCCCATGAGGTTTCAGTCGCCCCATCACGACCGGCTCATACCTGGCTTTCCACAAAGCTCCCAAGCGTCTGCCGTCCTTCTTTCCAGAGGGATAATACATTTATTGATCACTGAGACTTTTTTCTTATTTGGAGGGAGGATGTTTGAACCACACCCACAATGGTGATCAGAGACTGTTGCTACCTCAGTGCTTTGGGGTCACTCCCAGAAGTCCTTGGGGGAACCAGGCAGTTGGGTGGATCAAAACCAGGACTCCCCCATGCTAAATCATGTGGTAGAACCTTTTGAACCATTCCTCTGGCTCTAATAATCATTGACTTTGTTCTTTTGTTTTTTGGTTTGAGGGTCACACCCCAGTGCTCTTAGGGCTTACTCGTGGCCTTATGCTCAGGAATTTCTAGCCTGGTGATGCTCAGGAGGACCATCTGTGGTGTTTGGATTGAACCTGGGTTTGATATATGCATCTGGGCAAGTGCTCTATCTACTCTTTTATCTCTGCTGCCCCTCATCTTGGGCTGGAGTGATAGCACAGCGGTAGGGTGTTTGCCTTGCACGCAACCAACATGGTGGACCCGAGTTCGATTCCTCCGCTCCTCTCCGAGAGCCCGGCAAGCTACCGAGAGTATCTCGCCCGCACAGCAAAACCTGGCAAGCTACCCATGATGTATTCGATATGCCAAACACAGTAACAAGTCTCACAATGTTACTGGACCCGCTCGAGCAAATTGAAGAACAAGGGGAGGACAGTGACAGCCCCTCATCTTAGTCCTTTGTGTGTTTCCACTCCCTTCATTCTATCACAGCGTCCTGTTATCCCCACGTTTCCCCAGGGGACAGAATCAAGGGCAGAGAACCAGTGGGTGTGGGCACCAAGGTGCGGGCCTGAACCCCACACACACCACCTCCTGAGTTCGGTACTCGGGCTCCAGCCAGAAATACAGTGCGAACCCGTACACCTCTATTTCCCCCCTCTCCCCCCAACTCCCACCCCTCCAGCAGAGGCTGCCAGTTCAGCTTCTTCACCCTCACAGGGTCAGGATCCTCCAAGTCTCTTCTCCCAAGATAGAAAAACTGAGCACAAGTTCATTTCGCTTTTGCTTTAGAAATGATCTCAGGAAGTTGCAGTGCTTCGGGGCACTCTTGATTGAATATCAGCTGATTTTTGTAGTTACACAGAAATGTCAAATTAGAGCATTCCTGCGGATACAATTTACTTCTTCAGTGATTGTGCTCAGGTTCAGAGATATGTATGAATAAAGCTCTCGGGGTGGTTTCCTCTTATAATTTTCTCTCCACGTATATCATTGGAAATAAAAACTGGTTGTTAAAAGTCTGTGTTGCCTTTGAGCCTTACGCAGATAAGATGTTTTAAGGTCTTTATCAGTGTCACCCCTTGTACCTTCCTCAAAAAATCCCAAGGGAGACTTTTCTCCTCATCTCACTTTCTAGTTTTGTCCATTTCAGTACATGCAATGACTTGACATTTCTCCAGCAGATGCTGTAACTCAATAATTCACTGCAGAAACTCTTTGCACAGAATTTCCACCTGTGGCGCAGGCCGGGCCCTTGGAGTTCGGAAGAGTTGTCAGTCAGCAATCTTTCTGATGGCCTCCCTGGAGATAGAAACCCCACTGGGTGGTCCTGTGACCTTTGCTTCAGAGAGCCCCACCTCAGGGTGGACCATTCATGCTGCTGGGCTGCGAAAACTTCCTGTCTCTTCCACCTGTGGGTTCACATTGTCCTTTATGAATGAACATCTTTTTTTGGGGGGGGGTAGGGGGGAAGCACACCTGGCAATGTTCAGGGATTACTCCTAACTCTGTGCTCAGGCATCACTGCTGGTGGTGCTCAGGAGACCATATGGGTTGCTGAGGATCAAACCCAGGTCGGCCGTGTACAAGGCAAGTAAGTGCCTTACCTTCATGAAGGCCCCATCTCCTTTATGAATGTGTTCTTGCAGGTGAGCCTCTCAAGCTTCCCGAAAGTTCTAAGGACTGGAGACAGAGGATGGTGGTGATGGGCGGAAGGTGTTAACTCTCAGTGAGGTTTCTCCACAGGCTGACACGGGCTCCTTCTTTCCCCCTGCAGCCAAACCAAGCATCCGGAAGCACGAGCAGCTGAACAGCGTGTTCCTGTGCGAGGCAGAAGGCTTCCCAGAGCCCACCATCGATTGGTACTTTTGTCCCCTATCTGAGCAGAGGTGAGGCAGTTATTTGGGGGCATAACTGATGATGTGTATGGGGAGGAGTCCAGTTTATTTCATTTCTGTTGTGTTTTCACATTGCTTCCTTCTGAAAGGCTGGGTTTTGATTACTCCCTCCACCCCCCCCCCCCCCACACACACACCCCTCTATCTGTGTGGCTTTTTAATGCCATAATTGAACTCTTTTCTGGGTAGACATTAATTTGATTTACTGGGGTGGGGGTAGGGGAGATCAATGAAGGACTTCTATTTGTGACGGGTTGTGGGGGATGGTATTATCTTTTTGGATTTCTCATGCAATTTCTAGCTCACAGGTAGGTCAAGCAATTTTCCAGAATGGAGTAATTAGGTTCCCACTCTATACGCGGGAGGTAATGGGGATGGGAAATGTGGCTGGAGTTTTCATGGAAAAATGACTTCAGAAGTTAATTGCCAAGTTACCAAAAAGTAATGATGGTGCAATTACAGCCTCCATATGGTGTTGGAAAGCAGTGTTGTTCAAGGAGCTTTGCTTGTTGATGAGGGGTCTAATTCCTGAGAAACCCACATTTTGGGGGTCTCCTCGCCCTCTGACTCACACTTAAACAAACCTCCCATTGTTCCTTGTACATCACCCGACTGTATGAAAATGGAATCAGTGCTGCCTATTTTTTTGTTTGTTTGTCTTTTTTTTTTTTTAATTTTAATTGGTGAAACACCATGAGGTACAGTTGTAGACTTACAAATTTTTGTGCTTGGGTTTCTATTATACAATGATCAAATACCCATCCCTCCACCAGTGCCCATTTTCCACCACCATGGATCCCAGTATCCCTCCCCCCCATTCCCCCCATCCCACCCTGCCTCTGTGGCAGGGCATTCCCTTTTGTTTTCTCTCTCCTTTTGGGTGTTGTGGTCTGCAAAAGAGGCATTGAGTGGCAATCATGTTCGGTCCATAGTCTACTTTCAACATGCATCTACCATCCTGGGAGGATCCTCCAAACACCCTTTATTTGGTGCTTCTCTGTTTGTTTTTTTAGAAGTCTGGTGTATATATACATCATAATGAAAGAGGTGGGGTAATAATAAAAAAATTTTATTTTTCACAAATGAGAGACCCTTTTATCATTATAAGTTGCAAGAGGTTCCCTGGGATGGCAGTTTGCAGTTAGTTTCAGTGGAATGGCATCTTTGGTGAAGGAACCAATGAGGAGGGCTTCAGTCACCTGGAAATCTCCTCACAGAGGTCCCCCTATGACTACAGCCTCTTCCTCCTCATTGAACAGGCATTTGTAGAGCTGTTGAGCCCAGTGGGCATCTGAGCCCTCACTGGATGTTGTGGGTGCTAGTGGACAAGACACCCCAACACCCTGGACTTGTGAGCTAACACAGGTTGGGCCTGCATCTAGACAAGCACTGTGTCTACTGTTTTATCTATTATTTTATGCTGTTGCCAGGGTATGTGAGCTAGAGCACAGGAAGAGGACTGAATTCCACCAGTCACAGGGAACCTGGTACAGAAACCAAATCACATTCTGGTTCCCCAGAATTTTGCCACTTGTAGATCAGTGGGTTCTACCACCTGGATCTGAAACTCTGTAGTCCTTGTTCTTGGTTTTTTTTGGGGGGGGGTTACATTTCTTCATATCCTCATTGACTTCAGTGCTTTCCTTCTGAAACACATCCTTTCATGATTAGCTCATTTATAAAGGCGTACTTCGTGCCAGAATACGTACCAGCCATCTGACTGTACTCAATTGCTGTTCCCTCGGAGACTCTTGGAAGGGAAGAGTTGCCACTCCCATTTCCAAATGCATTTTGGAGAATCTCACTTGCCTGACGGAAGTTGACAGAAGAGGCACGCTTGTGTCTGGATTCAAACCCACATCTCACTCCCACCCACCTTCTTCCACTCCCACGTGGGACCATTCTTTCACATTGTGCTTCTTCGTCATCAGACACACTCGGTTGTAAAGGGAAATGTCTGATCGCAGATTTCCAAATTCACTTGTTTTCAAGGAGGCCAGAAACAAAGCATCTCAAGTCTTTGTTGACCTTGAGCACATCTGGGTTGTTTTCTTCCACACAGATGCGCTGCTCCCACGGGGTTCGTGGACGTGAAGATCCAAAACTCATCCATGTCACCGTTTGGAATGCTTGTGGTTCAGAGTTCCATCGACTTCAGCGCCTTCAAGCACAATGGCACAGTAGAGTGTAGGGCTCACAACGATGTGGGGGAGAGCGCTGCCTCTTTTAACTTTGCACTTAAAGGTAACAACAAAGGTATATTTCTTTTTAATCCAATTTAAGGGGATGTTTAGTCTCTTGCCTGCCATGTCAGTCATGACTTTTAAGTCCATCCCATCCCGGGCCTTGCCATTTCTGGTAATACCCTACATTGCATTTTACAGTCATCAAACTAAGTTTCATTCTCATACAAGTCCATGTATTTTATGCAGTACTTTTAGTCTTGCTCTTTATATCTATATTGTGTGTGCACTTATGTATGTTGGCATAGGCACGCGTGCGTGTGTCTCTGAGATGAATGTATGTGTCCATTTTTTTCCCATGAAAGGTGAAGAGAAGTTAGAGTGGGATGCACTTTCTATAGAAATAGAAACCAGACAAAAGCAGTTTCAGTTGTGTGTTTTCTTCTTTTTTTTTAATTAATTCAGAATTTTAGTTAACCTTTTGTAATTTAGCACACTAAATTAGTGTGCTGAATTTCAGAAAATTAGTATTGCTTTTTTTTGGAAGTCGTAACATTGTGCTTAATTCTTTAACATCTTTAAAAATTTGATTCATGAATGACTAGTTCTCGTGAATTCAATGATCCTTCAGACAGATTGATGAATTGCTGTGAAGTTAGAAGACCAGAAAAAAAAAGGGAAAAAGAGAAAAAAAACGGTCACTTACAGTCTCAGGGGCTCAGTTTCTATTTTCTTGGCTTGCTAGAGAGAAGTGCCAAAAAAGCAGTGTGTTTTCAGTGTTAAGTAATGAGGGGGAACATTACATTGTTCTTCGATGTAGCTTTTTTTTCAGGCAGAGCAATGAAGAACACTTTAGATTACTTTCTTGGTTGTGACAGAAATTCCTGCTCAATGTAGAACATGTAGGACACTCAGGAAAACATAAAGAAGAAAACATAAACCATGCACAAAAGAAAGTTCTTAAATGTTGTCCAAGATGGGATTTCGAAGGTCAGCGTTTATGCAGCAGTTAGTTTCTTAACAAACAGCCTATGTGAAGGCTTGAGCTATCGGAATCTCAGCTCCTTCCTGAGAGCCACCTGGTTTCAGTTTGCTGTTGTCCGAGATTTGCTTTTGAATGGCAAGAGTGAGAGATTATCACCAAGAGACTAACATGGCTTTGAATTCTAGCCTGGGCTTGCAAGAGGGGAGGTGGGTGAGTTTGGGGTTGGGTGGTTATGGTCTAGTTCCCCTTGGCTTAGAGCAGTGATTCTAACCTTCCTCTTTCATTTTAGAAGAAATCCATCCCCACACCCTGTTCACGCCTCTGCTGATTGGTTTTGTGGTTGCGGCCGGAATAATGTGCATCATTGTGATGATTCTTACCTACAAATATTTGCAGGTGACCATTTAAACCATTTAAGTGTTTTCTACCCCAAGTACTGTCCTGTCGGAAGCCCTGGGCATTGAATGAATGACGATCTACCTCTGCTTTTCTCCTCCTAGAAACCGATGTATGAAGTCCAGTGGAAGGTTGTGGAGGAGATCAATGGAAACAATTATGTTTACATAGACCCAACGCAGCTTCCTTATGATCACAAATGGGAGTTTCCCAGAAACAGGCTGAGTTTTGGTCAGTATGAAACTGTGGCTTTCCAAATAACCCTTTTGTGTTTGCATAACAATGACTTTGGGAACCCTAATGCTTCTGCTCTCTGGTTCTCCCCATACACTGTTTGCTGTGAAACTTGACTGCCTCTCATAGAGTTGGCACCTGGCACATTCCCAGGAAAGTTCCCTAACCTGTTCTGTCCTTCCTTGGTTGAGTCTTGGCATTGTGTGAGGGACCCTGCCACACCATCTCTGCCATGTAACTTCCTTTGCTTCTTCCTTTCTACAGGGAAAACCTTGGGTGCCGGAGCCTTTGGGAAGGTGGTCGAGGCCACTGCATATGGCCTGATTAAATCTGATGCAGCCATGACTGTCGCAGTGAAGATGCTCAAACGTAAGTTCCTGGGGCTGAAGTGATAGTACAGCGGGTAGGGTCTTGCACACGGTCAACCTGGGTTTGATTCCCAGCATCCCATATGGTCCCTTGAGCACCACCAGGAGTAATTCCTGAGTGCAGAGCCAGGAGTCACTCCTGAGCATTGCTGAATATGACCGAAAGAGTGAAAAAACAAAACAAAACAAAAAAAAGTAAGTCCCTGTGGGCCTCTGCCTGCACACCACATCCATTTGCCAGGATGTGCAATTTTCATTATTCTTGATGAAAACAAGCTGTTTCTGAGGTTTTCCCCTTCTTTCTTTTCTCTTTCTTTTTTCAGCAAGTGCCCACCTAACTGAACGAGAAGCCCTCATGTCAGAACTCAAAGTCTTGAGCTACCTGGGAAATCACATGAACATTGTCAATCTCCTTGGCGCATGCACCATCGGAGGTAAAGCCACAGCAGATTTTACTTCCTTCCTGTTATCTGTCAAACTAGCAGATGAGCCATTATTCATGTTAATAATGCTTGATGACAATTTCTTTTTTAATTAATTTTTATTTATTTTTTTTACATAGCCGTTCATGTTTGGAGTTCAGTCATACAGTGTTCCAACACCCATCCCTCCACCAGTGTACATTTCCCAGCACCAGTGTCCCTAGTTTCCCTCCCATCACCCACCACTCCTCACCCCCTACCCCTGCCTGTCTCTATGGCAGTCACCTTTCTTCTCTCTTTTGAGACTGTCTCTTTTGCAAGACCACTTATCCAGGTTGCTGTTAATCTAGATTCTGCCCCCTCTACTGCCTCACCCCAAAAGTGACTGTTCTCAAAAGTCCATATTTCGGTTTAATCAGCCTGGGTGGGACAACCTAGGATACCTCTGATTACTGTTGGGTTTATTAAGTCACCATCCACCACATTGACTTCTTTCCAGAATAGTTCATTGTCTGCGCAGAATTTTTCCTTTATCTAGCAGACTTCATGTTTTGCTGGATTATATTCCGTCATCATAGGGTTGGTGTTTAATTTCATATCACAATTTAAGATAAGCCCCTAAGCCAGTTATACCAGCCCTGAAATATACAAAAGACGAGGCAAACATTGCTATGCAGACTAAATGTCCAGGGGCTGAGCAGTGATTCACGGTAAGGGCACTTACTTACCTTGCATGAGGCCAACCTAGATTGAATCTCCTGGCAGCCCACACAGTCCCTTGAACACCGCCAGGAGTGATTCTTGAGCACAGAGCTGAGCACCTCTGGGTGTTGCTACAAAGCAAAGCAAAACAAAATCAAACTAAATGACAATTCCTAAGGGTTCATTGGGCTTCTCACACAAGACTTATGGTCTGTTTCCAGAAAGAATTTTGTTCTAAAATAACCTTTCTCAACCTGGGCCCTCTGTATCTTCACAAAGGGGCCACGGATGAAAAATCTCATCATTGATTGGGGGAGGGCAGGACCGTCAGAAGGGCAGGCAGGTGATGGCATGGGACTAGGAGGCTAATCATTAGGACAGGGGGCTATGGGAAGGATAAAAGGTCACAAGGGGCCACAGTTGGAAAAAGGTTGAGAAACATTCAGGAGGAACAAAGAGACCTAAAATGAGCAGTTCCTTGAGATCTGGAGGGAAGCTTTGCATTGCTTTATATAATTTCATAAAATATTTCCTACCGCTGCTTCACCACGTCATGAATTAATTGTTCACGAGAGATTTCTGCTCATGTTCATCGGTTGCCTAATAATTTCTGGGCTGTAGCTTAAGACGTTCTGAACACCCCTTTTAAAAATTTCCCAACCTGTGTACTCTGAACGCAGGTGATGAGATGCCCTATTAGTTCAGCTTTTCACCCCCTCTCCAGTCTTGTCTCAGCTGGCTGTTCCATGTGATTGGTTTTCCTATTATGTCGCAGTTTGTATTCTTCGTCATTTCCATAATAACGTTACTGGGAGGGTGTGAAGGCCTGCTGTAAACAGAAATGAATCAAAGGATTCGTGTAGGAAGCTTGCTAAATAGTACACCGTTTGCAACTGCTCATTCCTACTTGTGAAACAAGCAGTCAAGCCTGGCCCCAAGCACTTAGGCATCACTTAGGGGGAAGGAGAGATTCTTGTTTAACTCCATGTGCCTCTGTGAAGCATTAGTCCTAGGTCCAGTCCTCAGAGGTGGGCCTTGGGCCTAAGGAGGCATCTCCTTTGAACCCGAATGCTAATGGCCATGATCACCGGGGGATTTTAATGAGCAGGCAGGATCCTCTCTGCAGCTTACCTCTGTGTCACCTTTCCCTATATGCTTGTAGGTCCCACCTTGGTCATTACAGAATACTGTTGCTATGGTGATCTTTTGAATTTTCTGAGAAGAAAACGCGATTCATTTATTTGCTCTAAGCAGGAAGATCACGCAGACGCCGCACTTTATAAGAACCTTCTGCATTCAAAGGAGCCTTCCTGGTAAGACTGATTTACATAAACAGTCAGCTGTTGACAGGCAGTTCATGGGGTCAGAAGGGTTTGCAATCAAGGCTGATTCTTTCAAAAAATGAACTAAGGTACTTTGAGGTGTAGGATCAGAATTATTAAATCATTTGAATGTGATTAACAGTTTAGCAAGTTCAAATGGTGTTTTTAAAGATTCAGATAATGTTAACCTTAGGTGTTTGTTGACATTTTTTTTTTTTTTAATTTCTCCCCCCACCCCTGTCTTAAGTTTTAGTTAGTTCTCCACTGAATGAATGCTGGACCCATTCTCTATTCTTTTTGTGATTCTCTTCCATGTCTGTGGCATTTACACAGTTGAGCCAGTGCTAGATGCTTCTTTGAGATGCTCTTTAGAGAGAAAATGCAGAGACCTTCCTTTGGAACCTTTAATAGGGAGTAGCAAAGAGTTGTTGTCATCCTCCTCTAAATTATTTCTCTGTATCTTGCCCTGTTTTTATACACTTCCTCCCATAAAAAGGCACAATTGCTCTAGACATCTGTAAAAATTTTGTCCTGGGCCAGCAAGATGCCATTGTAGATTGAGATACTTGGCTAGCTTTTGTTGAGGCCTGATCCTGTGTTTTGTTTTGGTTTTTGTTTTTTTGAGTCACGCCCGGTTGTATTCAGGAGTTACGCCTCTGCACTCAGGAACTTCTCCTGGTGGTGCTCAGGGTACCATATGGGATGCCAGGGATTGAACACAGGTCAGCCACGTGCAAGGCAAGTGCTCTCCCTGCAGTACTATCGCTCCGGCCCCCCAACCCTTTGTTGAATCCTGTCACCACATAGTCAGGTGGGGCCCAGAACCAAACAACAACAAAGCCTGTACCTTAGCTTTCTCTCTTCCGTTGTGGGTAGCATTCTGTATATAACACGTGAAGAGCCTCAAGTCCCTTGAAGATTCATTTGTCTAATTTCCAATTAGATTAGAATGTTCTCTCTGCCATCCTTGCCAGTTCTTTCTGAACGTAAAAATCCACCACTTAAAAATTGGGGACAAGTCACATACTCGTTGTGCCCTGTGCCTCATGAGTCACACTTCTATGACTGGGTAGTAGATTTCTCTCCTCTTCACTCACTTTGTCCCCAACATTTTGGGATGTCCAGACTTTGTCTCTTAAACCTATCTTCCGGTCACCCTAGGATTTTTTCCATACCTACTGTTGATAGGTGGTCACTTCTTAGAGCCCTTTTGTGTTCCTCTGTCTCAAGTTTTCATCCCCAAGTGAGGCTTCTTAATTTTTTTAAAAAAATCCTATAAACTTGAGTAGGACAGAGTGTTCAGTTATAGTAAAAAGCATTATAAACCACCTTTTGTTAACTTTCCCTGAACATAAGCTCTGGATATGAATATCTGAGTCACTTTGCTTTGCTTCTGAAAACTTCACTCCATATATATATATATATATGTATATATATATATATATATATCTTAGGGAGAAAAAAAACTTGACCACATGTATATTTTTTTCAGAAAATTGTGGCCTAAATGTTCAGTCCTGGGAGGTGTTCTTTGTGCTTTGGGGGTCCCAGATGGGATTGGAACCACCAGTGCGCTCGGAAGGAGGTTGTTGTCATGGTGTTTCTATGCTAATCAGAAGCAGGAAGTACTAGAAATCTTGAAGACTCTTCCAGCCAAATGTTGAAATGTTGCAGATTCAAGAGGTCCAGATGGTTCAGAAAATCATCCAAATTATTGGTGTTTATCTGAACCAACTTGATTTTTTTTTTCAAACCTTCTCCCATCAGTCGCTATATGTTCACGATCACTGCCTTCCTCCCCGACACATCTCAGAAGCTCTTATTCTTTTGTCTCTTTTCTCTTTCATCTTGTCTCTTGGGGCTAATTTAGAGAGTTTGAAGTAATGTGGGATAATGTTTTTGGCTCTCTGATTCCCACTAAATCCCTGGTGTCAAAAGATGGTAACTTTCTAACCGGACTCCCATCAATGATTGAACACAGAAATGGAAAGAACCTCTAATTCCTGGGGATTGGACTCTAATGTTGAATATTAACTACTGTAACTGTATGAAACTCAGTTCTCTTCAGGCGAACTTTGTCAAACTTCCTTCAAATATAATCAGCCTATTGTTTTGACAGCTGCCCCCAGCATGTGCCACCCTGACCCCATGTCCCATTTTATCCCAGTCATAACCTAATGCCTGTTTCTCCCCCAGCAATGACAGTACTAATGAATACATGGACATGAAACCCGGAGTTTCTTATGTTGTCCCAACTAAGACTGACAAAAGGAGATCTGCACGAATAGGTTGGTACCTATCAAGCAATAAAAACAAGTGTGAGTAATGGGGTTTGCTCATGCCACTGTGAAATATATAACATCTGTGGTTGTCGCTGTAGCACTGTAGCACTGTCCTTCCATTGTTCATCGATTTGCTCGAGCGGGCCCAGTAACATCTCCATTGTGAGACTTATTGTTACTGCGTTTGGCATATCAAATACGTCACGGGCAGCTTGTCAGGCTTCGCCATGCGGGTGAGATACTCTCAGTAGCTTGCCGGGCTCTCCGAGAGGGGCGGACTAATCGAACCCAGCTCGGCCGAGCTGGCTGCATGCAAGGCAAATGCCAAGTTTACTTATTTAGTAAACTCATGAGCATTGAAGCAAGGGCAAGTATTATTGAATCCACCATCCTCCTACAGATAGGAAAATATTGGAATATCCCTTATAAGTTTGGCACATCAAAATATATCAAGGATGTATTTTTCAGACACAAAATAAAAGATTTGGGATATCCTTTTCCCCCCGAATATGATCGTTAGCACAAGATGCGCGGCAACAATTATCTCTGTGATGTCACACAGAGGGATCACCTTTTGGGAGATTGTCTGCCAGATTCCCATCAGGTTATTCCGTAGCAGTCCTAGGTGTGGTCTTTGTTGCCCTCTTTCACCATGACGTTTTTAATTGCTAAGAAAATCCCCCTCCTCCCCCACCAGGCTCCTACATCGAGAGAGAGGTGGGGCCTGCAGTCTTGGAAGACGATGAGCTGGCCCTGGACCTGGAAGACTTGCTAAGCTTTTCTTACCAAGTGGCAAAGGGCATGGCGTTCCTTGCCTCAAAGAATGTGAGTGGGAGCGATCCTCAGGGGAGGTCTTTACAACGGGCACCGAATGGAGCCTTGTAGAGCCGCAGTTCGAATGCTGCATGTCATTTTGAAGTGGGGGTAGCCAAAAGCAGAGGCAATTTTGTTTCTTCAGGTTCCCACGGCTGTCTCTTGAAATTCTGGTCTTCTGTATAAGTTTCTTTAAAGTGCAAGCCTGTCAAAATGAGCGCTCTGTGAATTTTTTCTTTTTTTCCCCTTATACGTAATGAGTGCATTTAAAATATTTAGATTCGGGGATCTAGGAGCTGCTCTTAGAGAAGAGATCATTATTTTATCATTAAAACAGTGGGGTGGGCACCTCATGGAGTTGCTGTGGTTCGGGAAGCTTATACTTGAGTTTGATTGAAGTTAGAGCCCAAATATTGTAGGAAGATTTATGAAGTGAGAGACTTGGGAACAGAGTAAGCATTTGGGGAAAGGATGGGGATGGGGAAGGAATGATGGAACCTAACCAAGGAACTTGGTTTTTTACAAGAGTGAGAGGAATTCCCTGCAAAGTGGGTTAGAGCTCCTACCCTGAAGTGTCATTGGTGACATTTCCAAGTAATTAACAAAATATATGAGATCTCGTGGCTGGGAAAAAAAAATTTTAAAAAAGGAGCCTCTTCACTGTGTCCTTGGCAGATGTCAAATGGAAGTTGCAAAGACATTTGAGAAACTATAAAAGGACATTCGAAGACAAGCATGCGAAATGAGTTTAAAAAATATGATACGACTATTTATAATGTATTTTGCTATGAATGAAAGCAGTCCTACAAAGAAAGAAAGCGTTTATTCAAGTTGGTTTGGAAAATGATTATAGTAATTACAGTCCTAACGATATGAAACACAGAATTTGAGCATCATTCAAGGCGTAATTTAAATATTTATTTTTGGTGCACCGAATAGTTTAAATGTGAAGCAGAAGTATTGGATTTTTATAACATAAGGAGCACCCTAGTATTAAACACAGTGTTCACTCTTTAAAAAATTTAAAATAAATTTAAATGGTTTTCTTTTCTTCCCCATTTTTCTAATAGTGTATTCACAGAGACTTGGCAGCCAGAAATATCCTTCTTACTCACGGTCGAATCACGAAGATTTGTGATTTTGGTCTAGCTAGAGACATCAAGAATGATTCTAATTATGTGGTCAAAGGAAACGTGAGTATCCCTTCTCTGCTTGACAAGCCAGTGAAAGGTTTTAGTTTCCAGTTTTTACAGGGATTGTTTTTTATGATTTTCCTAATGCAAATCCTACCTTTGTGATACTATGCATTGGAACAGTCAAATTAAGTGTACTTCAGCAGAATTTGCATGGTATGCTGAACATTACTACAACTAACATTCCGATAATAGAATTTCTAATTCTAATTGTGTAATTATGGGGCATACGAAGGAAACAGAAATAGCCTTAATTTTCATTATAGCCCTAGAATAGCAATGAACTCGATTTTGTTCAAGTGAAACAATGCGGACCTGAAGGTCACTGCAGGGGGATTTTCTTTGAAGAGTGACAAGCTATGTGAAAAAGATGAAAATCCCAGATAATGCGCAGAATTAGGTCTTTAGAATATTGGAGCATATAATCAATAGTGGGCTTATTAAATAATTAAGCTTATTATTAAGCTTATTAAATAGGTTCCTGAGCAATAACTGGTTTATAGAACTTAGTTTTATTTCAGAATGCTTTATTTACATTGCCAGTTTTCATGATGTCATTAGAACAAACCCTTGGCATTGGGATGCAGTGTTTTTGTATTTTGAATGTTAGGGAAAGTTAAAAGCACACTGTGGCGTTTTTTCCTGCCCTGAGATGACAGAGGTTAATAGAGGTGAAAACAGGCCCATGTTTTCCCAGCTCTATTCCATTGATGAGGGGAGCCACATAGTCCTGTGTAGATATTCTTATCTGTCTATTTTCCCAGGTCTGTTTTTGCAGTTCAGATGTATTTCTGGAGGTAACTGTTTGTGTCCCTCATGATAATGTCATATTTTCTCTTTTATCACTATGGTCTTTGGGGTAGACTGACTTAGCTTGGTTTTTTAGAATTGTTCATGGATTTTCCTCTCAATCAAAATGTGCACTTGGGGGCGGAGACAGGGGAGGGAGAGCACTCTCATTAGTGCTCAGGGCTCACTCCTGGTGGGGCTTGGGCAACCATGTGTGTGGTGTTGGGGATCAAGCCCTGCTTGGCAGCATGCAAGGAAAGCACTCCACCTGCTATACTACCACGCCAGTGCCCCCAAACATGACGTTTTAATAAAACTCTCTCGAGGCTAAGATTTCACCACCAGGGGTGTTAATAAAACCAAGTCTCCTCCTTTTTGGAGAGTATTCCAAGTTTAAAGGAAAAATGAAAGGTGATTCTTTATCCTGGGCTCTGAATAATAACAAAGGACCATCTTGGCTTCCAGACCCAGATGAACTTTGTTCAGATTGGCTCCATCACTTGGTACCTATGTTATCTCTCACAAGACTTCCCAGTACTTTTGAATCTCCCTTCTCTTGGAAATAATACTGTCGCCTATCTTAAATAAGCTACAGTGTGATGACTCATGAGTTAATAGTGAGTAGAACCATGCCAGGTGAACTAGCTGCAGCTAGTACTCTGATTAGCAAGCATTATTCTGACCTTTAGAGATGTCCTATTTGAAACAGATAATCATGGTTGTGGTCCTGTTGTAGCTACGGAATCACTGAACATTAGTTGGTGGCTTTCGTTGGAATTGACTGGATGCATTAGGCTCACCAAGGTTGCAGATGGTAAACTTCTGCTGAAGTCATTTGAAATAACTGGTTACAGGTGATGCTTTCACGAGACTTATGGAGAGTATGTGGGCACATTCAAAATAAGAGAGGGTGGGGGCTGAGAGAGTACTATATGGACCGAGCTAATACTTTTCGTATTAGCTGGAGCAATAGCATAGCGGGAGGGCGTTTGCCTTGCACTGACCCAAGTTTGATTTCTCCGCCCCTCTCGGAGAGCCCGGCAAGCTACCGAGAGTATCTCGCCCGCGCGGCAGAGCCTGGCAAGCTCCCCGTGACGTATTCGATATGCCAGACACAGTAACAACAAAGTCTCCAATGGAGATGTTACTGGGCCCGCTCGAGCAAATCAATGATCAACGGGAGGGCCTTTACCTTTACCTTTACCTTAATACTTTTCGTACAGTACACTCAGATTTGATTCCCAGCATTGCCTGGTCTCTGGCTCTGCTGAGTGTGCCCTCCCTCCCTCCCTCCAAACCAAAACAAGTAGGCAACTCTCAGAGCATAGTTGCCCTCAGATTTAGATCATAGTCATCTGATACCTCCTCGTGTTCCCACTGGGTTCCTCATCATATGTATCTTACAGTCTGGCGAAGCCTGTGATTTCTTTGCCAGAACCGTTTTACAAATGCATAAAATAAAAATACATAGGTTTTTTTCCAAGAAAAGCAGTTAGATTGAAATACACGTATCAAAATATTAAAATGTAAATTGGTGATATATTTTTGCACACACTTCTTCACCGCACACCAGAAAACTTCACATTCTCGCTATTTATATATGTTCCAAGTCTTTGTCCAAAAGCCACTATCATTTCAAAGTGTTGATAAATTTGAATGCTAATCAAATGAAACTAGCTGTCTGATTCTGGCTGGCGACCAGATCAAGTGATCGCTCCAACCACTCTTGCTTTCTGACCGTCATTCATAAGGTTAAAGAAATGCTGAACTTCATTTAGAAGTTAGTGAACAAGAAAATGTGATTTCCTCCTCTCCTCCCTTTCCCTCGGGTTCCTCAGCACCTTGATCTGAAGATAGGAAAGATGCCTGAGGAAGAGCTCCTATAGGAACTTGAGTGCAAAATCGAGGCAGGAATATTGGAAGGCTTTTTTTTCTCCCACCGAGCCCCCCAACTAAAATAACTTTTAACACTGAAAAAAAATTGCCCTCCCAGTTTTCAGTCCTAACTGGATTAAAAGAAGGAATGATTTTGCTTTTTTTATGGTAGATTAAGAAGCAAGAACTCAGAATGTCCTTAAGAGGAATAGTCATGGAAAGTTTGCCTCGATTTGAGCGGAAAGTGTTCAGGATGTGAAGTTTGGAGCTGTTGAATTTAAACCCCAAATCTGCCACTTACCACCTTGAAATAGTCAGAACCATCAGAAGCTCCCTGAGACGTTTTTGGGTACTTATTATGCTAGGTAATTTTTCAGGTCTTTGCAAGTCAGGCAGTTTGTGCTAAGCTCTTTTCCCCACATTCTCTCATTGAACCCATGAAACAACTCAGTGACTTTGGAAGTATTTTTGTTTTCCAGAAGATGCCAAAGCATTACTGATGGCCATTTGAATGATCTTTCCAAATACATTAGTAAGGGACAGCTGATTTGCTATCCCTATGAAGGAAAACCTAAACTAATGTGAGAGAAGAATGGGAGTTAGCAGGCCAGGCTAGTCCAGAGAAAGCAGCTGAGGTACTCAGTCCTGGGGTGGATAGCCCTTTTTTTTATGGTTGTCACTGCAGAGCTAACCAACGCATCTAGAAGGCAGGATGGACAGGGAAATGAGGAAGAAGACAAAAGTCGGAAGGCAGAGCTGCATTTTTTATTTTTTTCCTAAAGTTGCCGCATAGCACATAAAGCAAAATATGATAGCAAAATAAAGTCCCCATGTCTCCACCTCATTACACAGGCGCTGGGCAGTAGATTCTCACTGTGGGCAGCTGTGTGTCTAATATAGTGGGAAGGAGAAAACAGACTCTGTGACAAATCTCTGCTACTCAAGGCCAGTGGTGCAACTGACGATCAGAACTCACATCTGTCTGTGATGTCTGTGCTTGCTCTTAACCACCTTAACCATGACTGATCCTGACTGATCCCATGTCCCTATCTTTAAGATGGTGCTTAGTACACTTGCAAAACCATGTAGGTCAGGGGTCTCTGGGGTCAGAGGGAAAAGGTCTTTGTGAGATAGTGGGCAAATTCTCACCCCCTCTCTACTAGGAGCAACAGGTATAGGAAATATGTTTTTTTGTTGTTTTTGTTTTTTGTTTTTTGGGTTACACCCGGCGATGCACAGGGGTTACTCCTGACAGTGCTTGGGGGACCATATGGGACACTGGGAATTGAACCTGGTCGGCCACGTGCAAGGCAAACACCTTACCTGCTCTACTATCGCTCCAGCCCCTGGAGATAATTTTCTATTTGGTGCTGTGGTGTAATATTTGGTGTTTTATTTGTTTTTTTGTCTTTGAGCTTTCTCATTTTTTGAGCTGTATCTGTTGTGTGTGCTTCCATTGCAGGCTCGGCTGCCTGTGAAGTGGATGGCACCCGAAAGCATTTTCAACTGTGTGTACACGTTTGAAAGTGATGTCTGGTCCTATGGGATTTTTCTGTGGGAGCTGTTCTCTTTAGGTAAGATGATCCCTGCCAAAGGCACCTTGATGCTACTCAAAGCAGAAGCTTAAGGTTAATCAGTGTCCTGCTCGCTGAGGATGAATGTTGATTTCCAAACTTTTTTTGTGTCTCAGGGAGCAGCCCCTACCCAGGAATGCCTGTGGATTCTAAGTTCTACAAGATGATCAAAGAAGGTTTCCGAATGCTGAGCCCCGAGCATGCACCTGCTGAAATGTAAGGGTCCGAATCACTTTCCTTCCCAGGATGTTTCCCCTTTTTCTTTTTTTTTTTTTAAAGACAGAAACCCAGATGTTGAGGGTTTCTGAAATGTCATTTGGTTCCTTTTTTTATGACAAATACCCACTCTCTTGTCCCCCGTTCAGATATTACTTCTGCCTCCTATTTTTATGGTCTATTTTCATGGTCTCACCCAAAACAAAACTCTTTGGGCAGCATTTCCTACAACCAGTGTTTGATTATATGCACGCATCATTAGAGAGGTCCAGCCACAGAGTTCTGGGAGGAGTCCTGAGCTGGTGGCCATTGAGGAGCAAGGCTCTGAGTCATGGCCATGTCCGGGCCTCTTCTTGTAGGTACGATATAATGAAGACTTGCTGGGATGCCGACCCCCTCAAGAGGCCCACCTTCAAGCAGATCGTTCAGCTCATTGAGAAGCAGATTTCAGACAGCACCAACCATGTGAGTGTAGCCCACTTTCTCTTGCTTCGGGGTAGCTCTTTTCTCTAAAGCTCTGGACTTGGTTTGGGGTGATGGTGGAGGGGAAGGGGCCCTAAGCCATTGATGCTTAAAGGATCATGTGATACGTGCAGTGCTAGGGATTGAATCCAGGACTCCTGCATGCAGAACATGTTTCTAGTCTGTTTAGCCATCTCCCTGTCCTATCTACAGCATTGAGAGTCAGGACTCAGCAACTGGCTCTCTTCTCCGAGGCTTTGGGTCTAAGTGGAGCAGTGGTAGGGCCCACCTCACCCTCTCCATCCTAAACCAAAGCAGGTGTGGGATGAGGGTGTGGCACTCAGAAGCCTGGAATTAGACCTTTCCATAAGGATTTGCTTGATTTCCTCCCCAGCCCCAAATGCTGGTCATGGGATCACTGGGTCATCTCTCCCATGTCAGGTCACTTAGTCTTTGGAGGGTGGGCTGATGTGCATGAGAATAAACTCCTATATAGAAGAGGCGGCTTGTATCCAAAGTAATGTTAGCCTCCAGCTCTGAGCATAGCCAGAAATGATGGTGCGTCAGCTCACAAGTTAGAGAAAAAAGGAGTTGTTTCAAGGGGAGAGATCCCCTGATTTGGCGAGTAGAGCGGAACATTCCAAATTCAAATTCATTCTTTTCACTCCTGCCTTTAAGGAATTAGTGATCCTTACTCTGACTTGGATTTTAGCCTTTAATTGCTTTTCTTTTGAATTGTGTGCTGGGAATGCTCTTTTCTAAGTGCATATACTGCTGACAGGGGTCAGGTGACACTCTGTGGGCCTCAGGGGCTAGGCCTTACTTAGGAGTGACCCTTGGAGGTGCTCCAGGGGCCATATGTAGTTCTGGGGATTAAGCTGAGGTCAGCAAGATGCAAAGGCTTGTCACCATTTTTTAATATAGCTACAATCAAAATGGAGATATGATTTTACATCTTAAAAAAAATCTCACTTAATCACAAATGTATACATTAAGCAGCATTTCCTAACTAAGTGCTTGATTCTCGGCAGAAGACTGACAGGATCATTGATTCTTGAGCAAAGGACACTAATCCAATTTGTAGTTGGCTTAGAGAAACTGATAAACCTTCAGAGGTTTCCAAACTAAATGGGACTTTTTACCCTCTTCTTTTTAGAAGAAAAAGGAAATCAGTATCCTCACCCCTTTTGGAACCTGCCTTCTTTCAAAAAACAAACAGAAAATACCCCTTCACTGTATCGTCAAAGGTTACACTCTCCACTTAGATTTGCCCTAGGACACCCACCCTTCAGGGGCAGGGAGGCACTGCCCTCCTGGGGGAAATAATGGGTTAACTACGGTTTGCTCCCAGATACGTGCCATAAGGAAAGCACTTTACGGGGTACGGCGTCACTTTCTCTGCCTTCAGATCCTGGGCAAAATGAGGGATCAAGCAAAAGTTGTCTGTTCTTGGACCAATGATTGTGGTTAGGGCACTGAAGCCCTTTGAAACCTTCTCCTCAGAAGAGTCTGGGCCAAGTTGCATGAGCTTCCACTACCACACACTATCCCTGGGTCACCATGTCCCTTGCGGGTGCCGATGCATTGATTGTGAATTTGTTTTCCTCAGATCTACTCCAACCTGTCGAGCAGCACCCCCAACCCCGAGAGGGCGGTGGTGGACCATTCGGTGCGGATCAATTCCGTGGGAAGCAGCGCCTCTTCTACCCAGCCTCTGCTTGTGCACGAAGACGTGTGAAAGGAGCGAGCACTTGGGGGCCAGGGGGCATCTCTGCACACCAGGAAGTGCCCCACCCCCCCTTCTTTTGCATTCTGTAATGATTGTTATGTTTTCCTTCAACTTGCATCCTGCTCCCAGGTAGTGGACACCCAGGGTCCTCAGTCTTGGACAAGCACTTTTGAGTGACCTTTTTTATTTCCACTTCTTTTGTGTTTTGTCATTCGCCGCCCTCTTGTTGCAAGAGCCGAACTGCCTACATTCCCGCTTGCCAAGTAGCCCTGCTGAAGGGACAAGTAGATGACTTGGAGAAGGGGAAGGGGCAGGGGCGGATAGGAACTCAAGTCCTTGCCAAGTCTTCTCCAATTTCTATTTGGAAAAGAATGGTTGCCGGTTCATTTGACTCACTGACAGGAGTGGCCTTCCGCTTCGTAGCCATTCCTAGAATTAGGATGATGCTGAGAGATGAGATGCTGAAATGTAAGCCCTTGATGAGGGGGTTGGGGACATTGTTAGAACCACAGGCAGAAGTCTGGTACTCTTTGGGCTTAAGAAATCTAGTACTTCATGGTGGGAAGGAGAGATAGGCCATGGGGAAATGCTCCTTGAGCATGAGTCAAGTCTTGCTGCTATGCCTGGGCCTTTGTACTACTGACCTGGTTTCTAAATAGAGTTCGCAGTTTCAGAGCCGCCTTGGAGAGATGATCTCCCTGGTCGGCCTTTGTATATACTCATCTCTTATGTTACACGTGTTCTTACATTGAGAGGGGCTGGGCGAAACCCTCAAGGTGTAGTTTCTGGCTACTGCTGTGGCCTAAGTCGGCTATACATTAGAAGAAATTCGGAGTGGGCCAAGTTGGAAGGAAACCGGTAATGCTTTTTACACCCCCCCCACCCCCGCCCCGCTTTAAGGGAAAAATATAACTGCCAAGCACAATGTTAACAAGAAAACTTTTGTAGCCAATGAACTTGTTCCGTCAATGACCCAGAACGAGCCTACCAGCTTCAGAAAAGCATCATGTGCAGTGAATTGATGCTCCTTAAAACGTTTCTGGTTTTTACTGCATGACTTTGGCAAGACTGAGGAAGCTGTGGCATGTTGTCCTCGGTCAAATTCTTCTGTCATAGGAAATATGAGTTAAGAGTTTTGCTACCTTTGCAGACGACATGTCCTGGACACCAGGCCAGTATCTATAGCTGTGTGTGTGCTTGCTTGCGTGCGCGCGTGCGTGTGCGTGTGTGCGCACTCACATGTGCGCACACATGCATGTGTGAATGCTTGCAAATCAATACTGGGTGAGAGCTTGCTCTTGCCCTGAGCCCATGAGGGTACTTTAGTACCCAGGAACTAGGCTTTCAACTCTCTTCCCTCACTGTCTAGGAAGCAAACCAGAAAGTCACCCAGAGTGTAGAGGAAGCAGAGTGATTATGTATCTGTTTACCTGCAGTAAGGGTCTCTGCTGTTCCACTCGATATACTGTACCTTATTAATGCTCCTCTCTAACTGAAACATACTGAAATGTTACCCTTTAAGCTGTAGTCTGGGTATTAGAATTTAGAATTTATCCCCTCCTCTTTTTTTTTTGAGTACTTTCCAACTCTAAGGGAATCCATGTGTCCACGGCCAGGTTTGTGTGTTACCTTGCAAGGTTCAGTGGTTCTCATGGTTCCCCCCTCTTAGGTCACTTAGATTACATGTAGACAACTGGCCATCCCTCCGGAAGTCACCTTTTGCACTGGAGTTCTATGCTCTCGCACCTTCCAAAGGTTACAGGTTTTGGGTTTTGTTGTCACATAAGAGATTGTCACTGTTTGCCATACTTTGTCTAAAAAATTCCTTTGCATTTCTATTGACTTTGATGATAGTAAGAAAAGTGGTTGTTAATTGTAGACGTCTTAGGTACTTCAGGGGCACTCCACTGAGAGTTTTTGTCTTGGATATTCTTGAAAGTTTATATTTTTATAATTTTTTTTTACATCAGGTGTTCCTTTGCAGTGGCTTAATGTTTGAAATTCTTTTGTCTTTTTTTGTAAATATTGAAATGTAGCAATAATGTCTTTTGAATATTCCCAAGCCCATGGGTCCTTGAAAATATTTTTTATATATACGGTAAGTTTATGTGTAAATATATGTAAGCGGTGCAAGTTTAAAGGATGTTAGTATTCCATGTTTGTTTGTTTTTTTCCCAGATATGTTGTTTAGTTGTTGACAGTTACGGAGAATTCTAATAAAAATGTAAATATATAAATCAAATGGAGTTTTGGTTATTTTCAGGCTTACTAAAATTAAATTTCACAGTGTTAAATGGCGTCGACCCAGCCAAGAAAAATTGTCCCTAACCTATGTAAGACAGATAAAAGACTTTCAAGATCATTAGAATTCTCACACTTGAAGATTCAACAGACATTTATTGAGAATATGATAGGTGCTGTATTTTCTCAGTTTATTCCTTGTTTCCATTTAAGTTGAAAACTGAGTGTAGAAAAATATATTGAGAATCCTAGACCTCCCTGTGATTATGTCTAGATTGATTCAGGGGAAGTGACTATTTTCATGAACAAAATAGTGCCAAAAGCAGCAATTTCATGAGCTTCAATCTAGTATAACTAGGCCTGTTTCTTCCTAAAAGAGAGTGTATAAAAATGTACGTGAACACTGAAGTAGTTCTCTAGGTGGCCCGAGGCACGCTCAGGTGGGATTTGAAGAGATGGTTTCATGAGCTGTTCAGGCTTCACCCCAGAATCCTATCCTCACTTGCTCAGGGACAGAGATTGGTGCGGCCACTCTCCTGGAAGATGGGGCTCCTGTGTGTTGGGACTGCCTTTTGGCCAGGGCAGCCCTTGTGGCCAGGTGACACAGTCCAAACCAATGAAATTGAGGTACCACAGGGAGCCATGTAATTTTGTGAAGAGTGTTAGGCCCCACAGAACACTGTCAGTTTGGATTTCCTTTATTATCATGGCGTTACCGTGGTAGCCCCTGTAAGGGAGGGAAGAAATAAAAGAAATGGGCCCTAGAATAAAGAGGTGTTCTTTCTGTGTTTTGGCTGTGCTCAGGGATCACTCCTGGCCAATCTCAGGGAATCATTTAGGGTCTCAGGATGGGAATGTGGGTCTGCTGCATGCAAGGCAAATGTCCTACCCCCTCTCTTTCTCCAGTACCAAGAGGAGTCCTTTTATAAGCAGGTGGAACCCTGGTGGCCAGGAAAGTATGCCTTTGCAATGGGGAAGAAACATACTACCTTTTAGTCAGGTGATTACCTTATTACAAATACTCATTGATCACTAAAGGACCAAATTCTTTTTTTGGGGGGGGTCACATCCAGCGATGCTCAGGGGTTACTCCTGGCTCTGTTCTCAGGAATTACTCCTAGCAATGCGTGGGGGACCTTATGGGATGCCAGGAATTGAACTCAGGTCAGCCGTGTGCAAGGCAAATGTCCTACCCATTGTACTATCACTTTGGCCCTAAAGGACTAAATTCTTTTTTTTTCTTTTCTTTTTTTTTTTTTTATGTAGGAGTACTGCTATTTATTCAGCCACTGATTAGCTGATTGAATTGGGCATGAACTCTACCTTTTTTTTTCATTTTTTTTATAATTTTATTTATTGAATCACCATGAAAGCAGTTACAAAGCTTTCGGGTCTAAGTCTCAGTCATGCAATGGAACACCCATACCTTCACCAGTGCCCATTCTTCACCCCCAACAGCCCCAGTATACCCCCATCCCACACACTCCCCCTACCTGTGGGGCAGATGATTTCCATATTACTCTCTATTTTTATTACATTCAATATTTTGACACCAGACCCAACATTATTTGGGATTTTACCCCAACACTCAGATCTGCTGAAAAGGCAACTGTAGACAATTTGTTTTCTATTGCTGGTTATGAATAACATGATGTTGCATGGCTGCAGCAGTGGCCATGTGATTTTGAAATTTTAACAAATATGGAGGAATTTCTGCCAAAACCTGGGTTCCGAGATTTGTTCCTGAGTCTCTTGGATCATGGCCACAAAGCAGCTTGATTAGGAGCCAGAGAGGCCATTCATGGGCAGCGACTCAGGGTCTCTTTGGGATGGGGAGGAAAGGGCTGGCTCCACCCCCATTCCGTGAGGCCCCGCGTGTCTCATCACTGAGAGCCCAAACCTAACTGTCCATTGGCCTCTGGAGGATGACGGCCACCGAGCCACGTAGGGGGAGTAGGAGAAGGGACAGCACCATTTCCCCCCTGGAATGGCCCGGCGACAGTAACCTACTGCGGGGTCTGGACGCATTTCTGCCCAAAGCCACTGGGTTCCGCAATTTGTTTCTGAGTCTCTGGGATCATGACCATTAAACGGCTTGATCAGGAGCCAGAGTGGCCATTTGTTGGCGGCGACTCGGGGTCTCTCATTGGGATGGGAGGGAAAGGCCCGGCTCCACCCCCATCCTGTGAGGTGCCGTGTGTCTTGTCACTGCAGGCCCAAACTTGACTGTCCAATGGTCTCTGGAGGATGGCGGCCACTAAGCCACCAAGGGAGAGCAGGTGGGGGTATAGCACCCTTTCCCCCCTGGGGTGACCCGGTGACAGTTACCTACTAAGTGGTCCAGACACATTTCTGCCAAAAGCCGCTGGGTTTCGAGATTTGTTTCTGAGTCTCTGGCATCATGGTCATTAAGCAGCTTGATCAGGAGCCAGAGAGGCCATTTGTGGGCAGCAACTCAGGGTCTCGTTGGTATGGGGAGAAAAGGGCTGGCTCCATCCCGTGAGGCCCCACATGTCTCGTCACTGTGGGCCCAAACCTGACTGTCCAGTAGCCTCTGGAGGATGGCGGGCCGCAGGGGGAACAGGCCAAGGCACGAAATCTATTCCCACCTGGGGTGGCCCGGCACCTGTAACCTACTTCAGGGACTGGATGCATTTCTGCCAAAAGCTGTTGGGTTTTGAGATTTGTTTGAGTCTCTGGGATCATGGCCGTTAAGCAGTTCGATCAGGAACCAGAGAGGCCATGCCTCCAATTATATAGCTGAGCCAAAGATGTGGGTGTGTCTCCCACATACCTAACTTTTTACCATTTACTTTTTTTTTTTTTGAATCACCGTGAGAATAGTCACAAAGCCTTTCAGTTCAAGTCTCAGTCAGTCATACACTGATCAAACATTTGTCCCTTCACCAGTGCACATTTCCCAACACCAAGAACCCCAGTATAACCGCCTCCCACCCCCACCCCCTGCCTGTGTGGCAGATTTCCACCTCTCTCTCTCTCTCTCTCTCTCTCTCTCTCTCTCTCCCCCTCCCCCCCCCCCCCCCCCCCCCCGTTGATCACATTCAAT